TATGTTAATGCTCCAAGAAATGATCTGAAACGAGTGTGGGGTGGCAATGGCAGGTTTATCACTCAATTCTTTTTTTTTTTTTTTCTTTTTTTTTTTTTTTTTATAATATCATATAATTCTAATCTGGTGAAACATCATCCTATTTAATCTGAATATTGGCAAGTTTTTGGCTAAAGCGAAAGAAGTATTAACAAGACATCAACCATATATATATTATAACAATATATTTTATATGGTATTAATGATTAAATTATGAGTAAAATTATAAATTTAAGGTAGAAAGATATAAACAAGAACCAAACACCAGTAGAAAACAAGATTTTATATTATATGTCCTAGAATGGATGTCAATAATACACATAAGTTAGAATATAATTATGATCAGTGTATATGAGTCTTAATTAATATGATTAGGTCATGAAAAGCACTAAATTCTGATCGACAATTGCACAAGCAACAGGCAACGGGTCATGCCTTGACATATAAGAAAATGAAGGTGTATGCAGTTAAACACGCTAATTAAAGTTGATTAAAATACCCGTGTCCCCACAATAATTAGTATATGCTCACATAAGCAAGACTGCAAAGATTCTTATTTACTTTCATTAGTAGAAAAGGTCTTTTCATAATCAACAAATTACACAAATGCACAATTGGTATGACCTCGAACACTAAAGTTTCATTGCTTACAATATTCAAATAAACCTCTGTCTTTATGGTCTGATGATAAACCTTTTAACTATTAGAGTTAGTTATACCCAGAGAGTTTTTGTGTCGAACGTAGGAGAGGTATATCACATTTGTACAATTCTAAGTTCATTGGGCTTGTAGGGTATTCCGTGGTCCTAACGATTAACAATATGCACTTGGATCCTTGTATACCTAAAAAAAAAAAAAAAAAATTTTTAATCTTAATTTTCAAAAAAGTTGATGTTGTGTGAATTTTAACATGTAGTGAAATGGTGATGCCGATAGCGAGAGACAATACGACAATGTTCCCACCTATGCCTTTCAATATAAGCAGCTTCATCGACGAATGCAGTCAATCTTATGGTGTCCCTCCTCGCCTCATTGGGTTACATCATATTATGGTGGCCATGTAAGTCTTTCTCTTTCCACCACTCATTATCTTCATTCTCAAACCACAATTCACTAATTAGCATAAATGTTTTTTTATTTTTTTTTTTCTTTTATCACTGCAGGATATAAAACTAATTCTCCAAAGATTTTCCAGCAACATAATTTTCTCCAATGACTGAGAGACCTTATAGTAGCGGCGGGTAATTAATATTTAATACACCAAAAATAATAAAAATTTCTAATACAAAATTAACTTTTTTTCTGTGTTGTGCTATGTCTAATATACTATCTTACATTATAGGGTGCTGAAAGACATATCGGATATGGTTGTCGCAGTTCATCAGTCAATGGTAAGTCCCTCGATGGATCGCCAACTATAGAATTAGGATCATTGTTGATCTATTTTCTTTAAAGTTTTAAAATCCATGAATGGTGCAAGATTAATTGTTAAATTTGCAGGTTCTCACTGCTTGTAATACTTCCAGCAAATGCTACTATGACCCAGATTGGCTGGTGAAGCAGCGTAAGATTGAGGTAGAGATTATTGAAGGTGGATAGCCAATACAATAAGGATCTCCTAACATTCAGCAGTAAACGTCATAACGACGGCAGAAATTGTATCGTGAATCAAAGCAAAAAATTATGTATTAGTTCAAAGATTTAATAAAATCTAAATTTAATATGTGCCCCTTATCGTTAACACCCTACTAGGAATATGAAACAATGTCAAGTATTACGAAATCAAAACGTAAATCACACACAAACCACAAATAGTAAAGAGAATAATAATACGCTTAATTTACTCTGATTCACCCAATTAACTGGTTAAATCTAATAGAATCAATATTATTACAATACTGTCTTACCTCTCTAATAACATTAGACCTGGCAAAGAGGGCTTTACCCACAAGTAACAGGTACCCACATCTAATGGGCGGGTAAGTATCCCTAATATTCCTGTTTCAAAATTACCCATACCCGGCCTGCCCATGAAAGTTGCTGTGGGCCGGGTAATGCCTGCGGGTACACGTCTTTAACTAAACCCAAAAAACCCTAACCATTTCTCACTCTCGCAGCCGGCAGCGCCCTGCACTAGTAGCCTCAATCTCTCTCAGACTCTCCGTAGCTCTCCATAGGGGTAAGCGGTTCCGGGTACCCTGTATTTTTCGGGGAACCAGAACCATATAGTACAGCTTCCTAAAAAAGAAATCAGAACTAGTCCACATGTCAAGTTCTTAAATTCAAGGAACCAGAACCTGCAAGTTCCGGTTCTTTCCCGGGTACCCTATAAAAATCAATATGCCCCTATAGTTTAAAATGACAAAAATACCTTAAAAGTTACAAATCACCCCTAACAATTTTGACTACTCATTCATTGTGTTCTAATGTGACTTATAAATCCTTTAATCTCTAGGCAACACTTAATCATCAATTCATCACAATTCACCATAAAATTCCTCAATCAAAATCAAAACACAAACAATTAATTAAACAATCATACTATGAATCATAATTTAATATATAATTAATCAAATTTCTAATCATTTAATTAAGTACTGTACTAATGTTTATAGGAATATTATAATTATTAAATAATCATACTATAATCTATAATGTAATGTTATAATTAATTAATTTTTAATCATTCAATTAAGTATGTACTAATATAGTAAATTATAATTTTTATATGTAGTTATAAATTTATAATTAATCAAGTAATCATTTAACTATGTAATGTTATATTAATTAAGTAATTATTTAATTATAATGTATTTTTTTAATTAATTAAATTATTACATTTAATTAAGTATTTTACTAATGTTATAATTAACGTAATATTATAATTAATTAAGTAATCATACTATAAATTTATAAATGTAATGCATATTAATTAAATTTCAATCATTTAATTAAGTATTTGCTAATTGGAAATTACTAATGTTTATAATATAATGTCATAATTAATTAGTAATCATTTAATTATGTAATGTTATATTAATTACAGTATCAAACTCTAATGTATGTTATAATGAATTAAGTAATCATACTATAAATCTTTATATCTATTATATTAATTAAATTTCTAATCATTTAATTAAATATGTACTAAGATTGATAATGTAAATTAGTATTATTGTGTCTGGTCAAGAATTATTTGTTTTTAAATATTAACTACTAATTATAGGCTTATAGCCTTATATTTACTAAACTTAAATTTGGTCAGTTCTTAATTTCCTGCTAAAGCAATCCACAAGATTCTCCAACAAATCAAGTCAAATTGGTATATCCTACCATAGTTTATCAATTATTCATAAAAGCAAACATCTTTTCCCCACCCAAGGTTTGCCTTAATCACTTTCCCACCTAACAAGCTTCAAAATGTCACTTTCATACCCAAAGTTAGCATTTTGATACTACCCAAAGCCGATTCCGATAGCAAAAATTATCTCCGTCACCACTATTTGAACCTCCGGTCTCCTTTCTACAAAACTCTTCTCACTCTGGCACCTGATTTCTCACCGAATGTCGGTCACCGCAAAGCTAAGGTTTCCTATTCTTAGATTATTTCCGGCTGATTTCGACGGCGAATATTCAATTGGTCACTACTATTCGATCGATCGTCCATCGACCTTCACAGTACAGAAACTCTCTTGTCCTGGCTCCTAATAACTTTTTGAATGACAAGTAAGAAAGTGAAATGTATTTTTAGTGTGAACGGAATATAAACGTTGGGTGGAAAAGCGGTATTTTAAAACCTTTTAGGTGAGAAAGTGTCATTAAAACAAACCTTGAGTGGGAAAAAGTCGTTTACTCTTATCTATAATAAGGGGAAACTTTTGTTTGAGAAATAGATTAGAGTAGGTAAGATTACTTTATAGTCTAGATAGGTTTATTGTGTAATTACGTCCATTATATAAACCCATGATTTCATGAGGTAATGAAAATATATCCATATACGTAGAGACTTTTTTTAGTGCTCCACAATCCAGCCCTACAATGGCAAACACCTTTCCCTGCTGGACATGCAGTCAACTATTTTGAAACTTATAAAGTAAAGCCCGGCATTCATGATGACTAAGTCATCTCGTCTACTGTATTGTTCAATGTTCACATTCTAAGAATTCACGCATTGTGTTTTATATTTTAATTTAGTTAATTAAGCTGAGTCTTATACAAGTTAAATTAATGGTTCAAAGTGTGAAGATTACATATAAACAGCCAACTCAAACTTTCTAGTATTATAAATTACTGGTTGGTGAGTACGTAATTAATGGATTTCTATTAGATTTTCTTCGCAAAATCCTGAGTTCTGTTGATGGAAAATTTCTATTCGATATTGAAGACTTGGCCAATGGCCGGTCATAATTTGTTTCAGTTTACCACCTCATATATATAAATATTAATTTTGTTCCCCAATCCTTTTCATAAATAATATTTATTTATGGTAAAATTTTACAGACCCCTTGAGGTTTGCTTAAATCACACAGACCCCCATTGGTATGAGAATTAGGCACTCTCATTCCATGTTTTTGGCCATTAGTATCATCTAGAAAGTTGATTTTTTTTTTTTTTTTTTTGTGGTAACCGGGGTGTTCGTACCGGTTTGTATGCACCTCAACTAATCATCGAGATTCATTGAATACCCTAAAAACGTAAAGCAACAGGTAATTCCCAATGTTATTATGGTAGGTGACCCCAAGGTTTGAATCTAATAATTCAAAGAAGCAAGGAAACTTCCTTAACTATCAGGTCAACCCCTTGAGGTTCAGACCAATCATATTACTTGCAATATCAAAGAAAGAGGACATATGTAAAAATGACATAAACTTTATGGGTTGCGGTATTGTAACCACCAATCATATTTAGGATGTAGCATTAATCTTAAGCGTAGGGGCATTAAGTAGCTATAAAAGGATGCGCCTGGCACAATCTCGGAAATATCATCTGAATCTATCAAAAATATTCTTTTGAGTTCGTTGCCATGATCTCTTCAATGCTTTCTGTTCAATGGCTTCTACTGATCTTCATAGTTATATCGATCTCTGTCACTTCTACAAGCTCTAAGATTCCAAGGCTTAGTCCAGTCAGAGGAACAGTTTTACTGGACCCTGAAATTTTGTCAGCTCCTATTTCGGAGGACTTCCAGACATTTTTTTACACTCAAACACTTGATCACTTTACCTACAGACCTGAAAGCTACTCCACTTTTCAACAACGATATGTAATCAATTTCAAGTACTGGGGTGGTTCAAATTCTAATGCTCCAATCTTTGCATATCTTGGAGCCGAAGCACCCATCGATGGTGATTTATCAATCATCGGATTCCTACCCGATAATGCCCTCCGGTTTAAAGCTCTCCTAGTATATATAGAGGTAGATATTCCACATCTTTGTTCCAATAGCTAAATTATTTTCAGATTCTTATTCTTTCTTTTATCTCAAAGTAATTTTCTCTTCTTTCATCAGCATCGTTACTATGGGAAATCGATCCCTTTTGCGTCGAGAGAAGAAGCCCTGAACAATGCTAGCACGATCGGGTATTTCAGTTCAGCTCAAGCTATTGCAGACTATGCAGAAATTATCTTGCATATTAAGAAAAAATATCAAGCCGAAGATTCGCCTGTGATTGTCGTTGGAGGATCATACGGAGGAAGTAAGTGGTGACTGTTACATTAAAAAAAAAAAAAAAAAAAAAAATTGAAACTATCAGTTACTGATGTCATTTTATGATTTCCAGTGCTTGCTTCGTGGTTTCGCCTGAAATATCCTCACGTAGCTCTCGGAGCTTTGGCCTCCTCTGCTCCAATCCTGTATTTCGATGACATAACGCCGCAGAATGGATATTATTCTGTTGTCACCAGGGATTTCAGAGTAATACATATTAAAATTTGGCCTTTTGTTAAACAATCTTTTTCACTTAAAATCCTGAAAGCCTTAAGATAATATTACGGGATTGTGTAGGAAGCTAGTGAAACGTGCTACCGAACTATACTAAAGTCTTGGTCTGAAATCGATAAAGTTGCTTCCACGCCCAATGGTCTCTCAATTCTTAGTGAGAAATTCAGAACTTGCAAGTAATAGCAAAGTCTTTGTCGTATCCTTCTGGTTTATTCCTAGATTATAATAATATATGATTGATTACTAATTTGGTTATTTTCTTGAAGTAGACCCTTGAAAGAATCTTCAGAGCTCAAGGATTTCTTGGATTCTACGTATGCTAATGCAGCTCAATATAATCAGCCACCAGAATATCCTGTTACCATGGTGTGTGGGGGCATTGATGGGGCGCCTCCTGAAACTGATTTACTTGGAAAAATATTTGCTGGTGTGGTTGGTTTTAGAGGAAATAAATCTTGCTATGTTAATGCTCCAAGAAATGAATCTGAAACGAGTGTGGGGTGGCAATGGCAGGTATATCACTCAATTCTTTTTTTTTTCTTTTTTCTTTTTTTATTTTTTATAATATCAATATAATTCTAATCTGGTGAAAAATCATCCTATTTAATCTGTATGTTGGCAGAGTTTTTGGCTAAAGCGAAAGAAGTATTAACAAGACATCAACCATATATATATTATAACAATATATTTTATATGGTATTAATGATTAAATTATGAGTAAAATTATAAGATTTAAGGTAGAAAGTAATTATAAACAAGAACCAAACACCATGGAGAAAAACAAGATTTTATATTATGATGGTTGCCTAGAATGGATGTCAAAATAATGCACACATAAGTTAGAATATAATTATGATCATTGTTATATGAGTCTTAATTAATATGATTTAGGTCATGAAAAGCACTAAATTCTGATCGACAATTAGCACAAGCAACAGGCAACTGGTCATGTCTTGACATATAAGAAAATGAAGTGGTATGCAGTTAAACACGCTAATTAAAGTTGATTAAAATACCCATGTCCCCACAATTAATTAGTATTATGCTCACGTAAGCAAGACTGCAAGAGATTCTTATTTACTTTCATTAGTAGAAAAGGTCTTTTCATAATCAAACAAATTACACAAATGCACAATTGGTATGACCTCGAACACTAAAGTTTCATTGCTTACAATATTCAAATAAACTTCTGTTTTTATGGTCAGATGACAAACCTTTTAGTTACTATAGTTAGTTATACCCAGAGAGTTTTGTGTTCGAGTCGTAGGAGAGGTATATATCACATTTGTACAATTCTATGGTCCATTGGGCTTGTAGGGTATTCCGTGACCCTAACGATTAGGCAGACTCTAATGTGCACTTGGATACCTTGTATACCTAAAAAAAAAAAAATTTATTTAATCTTAATTTTCAAAAAAGATTGATGAGTTGTGTGAATTTTAGACATGTAGTGAAATGGTGATGCCGATAGCGAGAGACAATACGACAATGTTCCCACCTATGCCTTTCAATATAAGCAGCTTCATCGACGAATGCAGTCAATCTTATGGTGTCCCTCCTCGGCCTCATTGGGTTACATCATATTATGGTGGCCATGTAAGTCTTTCTCTTTCCACCACTCAATTATCTTCATTTCTCAAACCACAATTCACTAATTAGCATTTAAATGTTTTTTTATTTTTTTTTTTTCTTTTATCACTGCAGGATATAAAACTAATTCTCCAAAGATTTTCCAGCAACATAATTTTCTCCAATGGACTGAGAGATCCTTATAGTAGCGGCGGGTAATTAATATTTAATACACCAAAAAATAATAAAAATTTCTAATACAAAATTAACTTTTTTTCTGTGTTGTGCTATGTCTAATATACTATCTTACATTATAGGGTGCTGAAAGACATATCGGATAGTGTTGTCGCAGTTCATACAGTCAATGGTAAGTCCCTCGAATGGATCGCCAACTATAGAATTAGGATCATTTGTTGATCTAAATTTTCTTTAAAGTTTTAAAATCCATGAATGGTGCAAGATTAATTGTTAAATTTGCAGGTTCTCACTGCTTGGATATACTTCCAGCAAATGCTACTAGTGACCCAGATTGGCTGGTGAAGCAGCGTAAGATTGAGGTAGAGATTATTGAAGGATGGATAGCCAAGTACAATAAGGATCTCCTAACATTCAGGCAGTAAACGTCATAACGACGGCAGGAAATTGTATCGTGAATCAAAGCAAAAAATTATGTATTAGTTCAAAGTATTTAATAAAATCTAAATTTAATATGTGCCCCTTATCGTTAACACCCTACTAGGAATATGAAACAATGTCAAGTATTACGAAATCAAAACAGTAATCACACACAAACCACAAATAGTAAAGAGAAATAATAATACGCGTAATTTACTCTGATTCACCCAATTAACTGGTTAAATCTAATAGAATCAATATTATTACAATACTGTCTTACCTCTCTAATAACAATTAGACCTGGCAAAAGAGGGCTTGTACCCACAAGTAAACAGGTACCCACATCTAATGGGCGGGTACAAGTATCCCTTAATATTACCTGTTTCAAAATTACCCATACCCGGCCTGCCCATGAAAGTTGCTGGTGGGCCGGGTAATGCCTGCGGGTACACGTACTTTAACTTAAACCCAAAAAACCCTAAACCATTTCTCACTCTCGCAGCCGGCAGCGCCCTGCACTAGTAGCTCTCAATCTCTCTCAGACTCTCACGTAGCTCTCCATAGGGGTAAGCGGTTCCGGGTACCCTGTATTTTTCGGGGGAACCAGAACCATATAGTACAGCTTCCTAAAAAAAGAAATCAGAACTAGATCCACATAGTGCAAGTTCTTAAATTCAAGGAACCAGAACCTGCAAGGTTCCGGTTCCTTTCCCGGGTACCCTATAAAAAATCAATTATGCCCCTATTAGTTTAAAAAATGACAAAAATACCTTAAAAGTTTACAAATCACCCCTAACAAATTTTGACTACTCATTCATTTGTGTCTAATGTGACTTATAAATCCTTTAATCTCTAGGCAACACTTGAATTCAATCAATTCATCACAATTCACATAAAATTCCTCAATCAAAATCAAAACACAAACAATTAATTAAACAATCATACTATGAATCTATAATTTAATATTATAATTAATCAAATTTCTAATCATTTAATTAAGTACTGTACTAATGTTTATAATGGAATATTATAATTAATTAAATAATCATACTATAAATCTATAATGTAATGTTATAATTAATTAAATTTTTAATCATTCAATTAAGTAATGTACTAATATAGTAAATTACTAATGTTTATAATGTAATGTTATAAATTTATAATTAATCAAGTAATCATTTAACTATGTAATGTTATAATTAATTAAGTAATTATTTAATTATAATGTATTTTTTTAATTAATTAAAATTACTAATCATTTAATTAAGTATTTTACTAATGTTATAATTAACGTAATATTATAATTAATTAAGTAATCATACTATAAATTTATAATGTAATGCTATAATTAATTAAATTTCTAATCATTTAATTAAGTATTTTGCTAATTTGGGAAATTACTAATGTTTATAATATAATGTCATAATTAATTAAGTAATCATTTAATTATGTAATGTTATAATTAATTACAGTATCAAACTCTAATGTAATGTTATAATGAATTAAGTAATCATACTATAAATCTTTAATATACTATTATAATTAATTAAATTTCTAATCATTTAATTAAATATTGTACTAATATTTATAATGGAATGTTATAATTAATTAAGTAATCATTTGTTTATAACGTAATGTTATAATTAATTAAGTAATCATATTATAAATTTATAATGTATTATTATAATTAATTAAATTTCTAATCATTTAATTAAGTATTGTGCTAATGTAGTAAATTACTAATGTTTATAACATAATATTATAATTAATTAAGCAATCATTTAATTACGTAATCATACTATAATTTAATGTTATAATGAATTGAGTAATCATATTATAAAACTTGAATGTAATATTATAATTAATTAATTTCTAATCATTTAATTAGGTATTGTACTAATGTTTATAATGGAATGTTATAATTAATTAAATAATCATTTGTATATAATGTAATGTTATAATTAAATAAGTAATTATACTATAAATCTATAAAGTAATGCTATAATTAATTAAATTTTTAATTATTTAATTAAGTAATGTACTAAATTACTAATGTAATGTTTTAAACCTATAATTAATTAAGTAATCATTTCACTATAATGTAATGATATACTTAAAACTTGATAATTGAAATAAATAATTAAATATCATATTATTATTCAATCAAATATATTATTTTATTCAAAAATAATTTTTTTAATAACATTAAAACACTTTTAATTGGTCATAATTCCAATTATACGCTTAATTAATCAAAACTTTAATATTAATATATTATAATATATTAAAGTTTTTTATACGGTGTAGTTTATATATAATAAGTATAATTGTATATTTATTTAATTAGGTTATTGTAAAAATTTAACTTTTTCTATTTTAAATTTTTTTATTTGTAAAATTACAAGAGACCCCCCATTCTTCATAGATATTTATTTCAACCCAGGTTCCAAAATAGGGTACCCACTGTAGGTTGTTTTTTTAAGGTTCCGATTCCGGTTCCTTCACTTTTAGAAACCGAAACCGGAACCACATAGTATCGGTTCCAAAAAAATAAAACCGAAACTTATCCGCATAGTATCAATTTCAGTTCTACCCACAGATTTCGATTCTACCTACTACCTGTCCTCACCCTTAGCTCTCAATCTGTCTCACGCTCAACTCGCCTTCTCTCTCATGGCGCAGCTCTCAATCTTTCTCACTTTCTTCAGCTCTCAATTTAACTTGAATGTTTATCATTTATTAAAAAATAAATAAATGATAAACATTCAAGAGGCTTCATCAACTCTTGGCACGAGGTCATAAATTTTAGTAGTAATTATTTCTTGGATTGGGGTTAATATTACTATTTTAATGTAAGGCTTTCGTAATCATAAATGAGTTTTCCTCCTACTTCATCTCTCTCACAACGGTAGCTTTAGCACTAATCTCTGCCATCTTCTTCCTCACATTCCATGCCAAAAAAATCGCCTCAGAAGACTAAAAGATATCACCCAATTGCCACCTCTCCCCTGAACCAAGTACTCAATTATTACAGGCTCTTTGACTTAATGGCGAACCTTTCACGCAAATATAAAACCTGCAGATTGTCTTCCTTCCATATGATTTTGTCTTTGCGGGTGACCCTACGGGTTGACCCGCACCCACACAGGCGAGTACGGGTTATACATTTTTCTACTCGTGAAATTTGTTTACTCGTAGACCCGTGCCCATTACCCGTAACTACCCGGTCCGTATTCGCCTGCCCCACCCGTTTGCCAAGTCTAGTTACAATTAATATATTGTCGTATGATTTACTATCACACTCATACAGAGAAAAATAAGTTTATATACTAAGTTTATAATGTAAAACCTATATACAAGAATCCTCTTTTACTAAGCCCAAATCCAATTAGAAATTAATGACTTAGAGAAATCCTACAACGACTCTTTAAAATAGACCCAAACTGCCTACAAGCCAAACAGCACTGCCTCTTGCCCCCTCGCCTGCTTATTGAGGAACAGGTCCTCCTAACTGATCGGGCAACAAGACCCCCAAATATATCTACGTGGTCCGTTATTGTGAAGGACAATAACTCCAACAATCAAGGCATAACGATCGCAAATTTATATCAAATTTATCTTAAAAAAAACATCACTGTCACCTGAATAAAATCAAATATCTAAAAGACAGCGTAATTAATATAATTTCATCCTATTTACTATCAAATTTTTCAATGTTTATATACAACTGTGTCATAAATGGTAGTCTGGTAGTGGTAGGTTAGCTAACAATGAGCCGATGCAAAGGCCCAATGTTTAACCAGTTTTGATTGGGCTATTGGATTAAGTTTAGAAACTTAAACAAACTAGTTATATTGAACCTTCGCACTCTTTATATATTTCAAACAAAATTCAAAAACAAAAAAGCTTAATTTATTTTCATTTTTACTTCCCAAGTAGAACAATTTTTTCAAGAGATGTATTTCTTACTATTTTTAATATAAAAGCTTAATATAAATAATATATAATATAAATTTACCTTTTTTTTTTTTTTTTTTTTTTTTTTTTTCTCTTTTCATCTTCTAAGTGACTCGTCTCATATAATTTACATAATTTCATTTATTTCTTAGCAAGTTAGACTAAAAGTTCGATTCTTCTTTTCTTCACTTAAATTATAAATTACCTTTTTCCAACGCCAGGAGTTGGTTCGTAATCTTAATTAATACATATTGCTACATGAATAAATTATAAATTTATCCTGTGTCCTTTACGGGAAAAAATTGCTTCATTGTTTTGTTTTTCTTCTATTTTAAATTTTCTTCATTATTTTAATAAATTAATATGTATTTATGCATATATAAATTGGTAACATATATCTACTTTCATTCAGTTTTCAAACTTGTGCTAAGAAACAAAATTGTTTTTTTTTTTCTCATAATTACAAATTACTTTGCAATAATATGTCAAATAAATAAAATATAGTCACATAAATACATAAATATTCAGTTGATATATATTCTGTCGTGATCAATAATGCTACGGACACCAGTAATTTGCACCGAATTTTTGTATTAACGTACGTGGCATCCAGTCAAACACAACCACGTTGAAGACAAAACACGTCTTCCGTGAATGAATGGTCGTCCAACAATTATGGACGTCTGTCCATATTTGATGGACGACCATTCATCACGAATTGACGAACGTCCATGAAAAATAACATGGACTCCAGTCCATATTATATGGACGGGAGTCCATTTCCTCTGGATGGACGTACACCTCATATGAACACCCTCCATAGTTTTTTTAAAATACAATAATGGACGTCGGTCCATATTATATGACTGTCCGTATCATATGGACAACCATCCATACTAAAGATGCTAGTTCATTGAGTTCTTAATTTGTGAATAATAAATGCAGACTCCAAGTTAAGGCAAGGCTGAACAACCACCTGGAATTGTGAGTTCCAATGAACTAAAAAAAAAAAAAAACAAATTATCCTAAGGCTAATTGTGATGATGTGGCTTATGAATTGCCACGTTGGAGTCAAACTTTTTTAAAAAGAGTCAAGCTTGAGTTATGCGACACCATTTTGCATTTGGGATCATTTGAC